ACCTTACGTATTTCTTTATGTTTTAGATGCAGAAAGAAAAAGTTTATACACTCTCTTTCTGGAATCTGTACAGTCCCGTCTTCGACATGGAGAAGATTCCACTCCACAGGTTCTTACTGAGCAACAGGCAACCAAGGAGAACCTAATGAAGATGCAGTCCATTGCTGAAAGGCATCTTGAACTGGATGATGTTCATGATCCCCTGCTTGCCATTAACTTTGCAAGGTGATCCACAGCCGCAGGGTTATCAGGAATTGAAATGGCATAATTTGTGCAATGTTTGCTAACTGTTTATTTCTGTCAGGTAGGGCTTTCCAGACCTAAAAACAAAAACGCTTGTAGGCTATCCTTTCTTTTTTTTGTTTGTTTTTGTTTTTGTTTTCGTTTGAGATGGAGCCTCACTCTGTCACCCAGGCTGGAGTGTAGTGGCGTGATCTTGGCTCACTGCAACCTTCGCCTCCCAGGTTAAGCAATTCTCCTACCTCGGCCTCCCAAGTACCTGGGACTACAGACATGTGCCACCATGCCCAGCTAATTTTTGTATTTTTAGTAGAGACAGGGTTTCGCCATGTTGGCCATCTCAAACTCCTGACCTCAGGTGATCTGCCCACCTCGGCCTCCCAAATTGCTGGGATTACAGGTGTGAGCCACTGCGCCCTGCCTATCCTTTATAACAAGCAGAATGCAAGATGTTGTGCCTCCCTATTTCAGGTGTATAGTTTGGATTCCATGTCGTTTGTGGAAGTCTGCAGACTTGGCCCTGCCACCATGTGGTACCACTTTTGTCTGTGTCCTCGGGCCCCTGGAAGTGTCATCATTTACCCAGAATATGCTGAAACTCTGGGCCATGAGTGGGCCCTCGACACCCATTGAGTCAGGGTCCCCATTGGCGTATAGTATGTCCTGGGCTTAAGCTGCTTTTCAGCACTTAGTCCATTAGAGTAAGTCATTAATACCCACACAGTTCCGGGTTGTCTGATGGCCAGCATTTGCTGTGTCCAGCCCTCATCACTAGGAAGACCAGCTCTAGTACCTGAGCCTAAGGCAGTGGCAACTTCAAGAGACTGGTTCACTCAAAGGATATTTTTGGGAGAAAGATTTTTCTCTTTCTGTAGTAGTTGGTAACTTCAAGACTAAAGGTAAAAATGGGACTTCAGGGTTTTAAGAGAATTCTGTTGACAGCAGCTCATAAAAAGAAGACACATTTTTATCTTGAAGGATGTATTTGGAGCAGAGTGACTTTCACGAGAAGTTTGCTGGTGGTGATGTATGTGTGGATAGATCATCGGAATCTGTGACATGCCAGACTTTTGAGTTAACGCTGAGATCCTGCCTCTATCCTCATATTGACAAGCAGTATCTAGATTGCTGTGGAAATCTCATGCAAACTCTAAAAAAAGATTACAGGTAAAAGAGTAATTTAATTTTGGAAGTAGTAAATAGTTGATTGTACTTGAACAGTTGAGATTATTTTAAAATCTATTTCAATTCAATTTTTATTAGAGTAGGAAATGGATATGCAGTAAACAATTTTTTAAGAGAAATCAGTTGACTATCAATATTTTCTTAACTATGTTGTGAAACTTAATTCTGTATTTCTGAGAATCTTTCCCAAAACAAATACAGAAAAAGCTTGTACAAAAATTACAAAGTTTGTTATCAGAATGAAAAAGACTAAATTACTTAGTGATAGATGACTAGTTCTTGAAACTATGGTGTATCCATAAATATGGCATATACATACCCACGTATGAACTTCGTAAAGTTCATAAAAATTATGGCAATTTAAAAGCAGGATATATAATATGGTAGGAACTAGGTTTTCTTAACGCGTAGGAAAGACAGGAAAGAAACATTCCAAAAATTAAATATTAATGATGGAAATCCACCATGAATGATGGGATTTGGATTTTTTTGTTAACATTTTTGTGACTGCCCAATTTTCTATCATTTAGTTATAGAAGATAACCTTTGTGATGATGAAAACCTGTGCTGTTTTTATTACTGGAATAGGTTTAAGAGGTGTTAATATTTCTAATTTTAGTAAATGTAGAATGTAAACTTGTTTCACTAAAAACAGGGTACAAAACCTGGTGTTGATCCAGAATCCTGCCTTACGAACACCAGAGATCTTTGTGTCACTCATTTTCTCTCCATGCAGGTTGGTAGAATACTTGCAAGCCATGAGAAATTTTTTCTTAATGGAAGGAGGAGATACCATGTATGACTTCTACACATCCATTTTTGATAAAATAAGAGAAAAGGAAACATGGCAGAATGTGTCTTTTCTTAATGTCCAACTCCAAGAAGCAGTAGGACAGCGTTATCCTGAGGATAGTTCACGGTAAATTATGGAAGCCACCTTTATTTAAATTAGTATAACATGAACTATGTGCCAATAAGTCGTCTATGAATTACACAGATTATTTTATTCTCATACTATTCCTATGAGTTTTACTAATATTATTTTACTTATTAGAAAATGGAGGCCAGGCACGGTGGCTCATACCTGTAATCCCAGCACTTTGGGAGGCAGAGGCGCTGGATCACCTGAGGTCAGGAGTTCGAGACCAGCCTGGCCAACATGGTGAAACTCCATCTCTACTAAAAATACCAAAAGCATGGTGGCAGGCACCTGGAATCCTGGCTACTTGGGAGGCTAAAAGCAGGAGAATCTCTTGAACCTGGGAGGCAGAGGTTGCAGTGAGCCAAGATCACGCCACTGCACTCCAGCCTGGGCGTCAAGAACGAGACTCCATTTTAAAAAAAAGAAAATTGAGGCAGAGGCTAGCTAAGTGAGTCTGCCGCTAAACAAGAAAAGATGCTGAGATGCCACCATATGGCCAGGTGCAGTGGCTCATGCCAGTAATCCTAGCACTTTGGGAGGCCAAGTTGGGAGGATTGCTTGAGCTCAGGAGTTTGCAACCAGTCTGGGCAACATAGTGGGACCTCGTCCCTACAAAAAAAAGTTGCCACCATCCAGCCTGTCAGGGTCTGGTGGCCTCCTTCACATGGCTGGAGCCAGTGCTTCCTCTCTCTCAGCTCCCACACGTGAGGTTTATCAGTCCCGCCTCCTAGAGAATGCCCCTGACCTCACAGAACTGGCTCAGACCTCCCCAATGGCCTGTCTCTCTCAGCCTCACTCCCTTCCACCAAAACAGACTTGACGCTCACCAGAGTGACCTCAGACCATCAGCAGTGACTTCCACCACTCATGCGTGTGCTCGCTGTGGGTGCCTCCTAACAAATGGACTAAGCTTTGTCTCAGAAGGGAGAAAGCTATTAACTGTCTGGCTCCGTTTTCCCAGCCTCATGTGTTGCACCATACACACCACGTTCTCTCTCCTATCTCACTTTGCATTTCAGGGATCTCAGAATATTTCTGGTGTCTGCATGTGCTGTCCTCTCGCCTCCCTGTGACATACTCTCCAATTTTTGGGCCGGCAGTGGTCTGCTCACTCCTGCATCTTCATGTGCTGCGCTGGGCTGGGAGTCCCTGGAGGGAAGAGAGAGTGGCTTTCTATTGCCTGCTCAGTGCAGCAGCTAACTTAGTATTGAATTTGGTAGATATCTACTGAGCGCTGAGTGAATGCGTGCATACCAGGCCATTAAGAGCTAAAAATTCTTTTTTTTTGAGACGGAGTCTTGCTTTGTCGCCCAGGCTGGAGTGCACTGGTGCGATCTCGGCTCACTGCAAGCTTCGCCTCCAGGGTTCAGGCCATTCTCCTGCCTCAGCCTCTTGAGTAGCTGGGACTACTGGCTCCCGCCACCATGCCCGGCTAATTTTTTTTATTTTTACTAGAGATGGGGTTTCACTGTGTTAGCTAGGATGGTCTCGATCCGACCTCGTGATCCGCCTGCCTCGGCCTCACAAAGTGCTGGGATTACAGGTGTGAGCCACCGCGCCCGGCCGAGAGCTAAAAATTCTGACTAGTGCCTGTGTCACAATCAGCCAGTTCATAATCACACTGCCCTTTGACAGCTCTGGTGTGGAAGTTCACTCCCCACTTTAAACCTTCTTCATATGCATGCAGGCATCCCCTCTTAGTGCCTCTGTGACTGTGGAAGAGGACGTTTCTCAGGAACCACTGATGGGACTATTTTGAGGATTAAATGAGCTAAGGACACATAATAGTGCCTGGCACTTGGACATTTTCATGTCCATGTTAGATGCTTGGTTTCCCATATGAGTCACGTTCAAACCTGTCTCGAACTCGTGGATGAAGCACTGCACAACACCTCTGGTGTAGAAGCAGACCCTGTCCCATCTTGATGGGGCTCTCAAAGCAATACTCTCACCACATGCTCAGCTCCCTCGAGCTGTTCTGCTCGTCCTCCCCTGCCCACCCCCAACCTCAGCAGAGGCTTCATCTTCCCAGCCATTGCCTGAGGTTTACTGTCTTCCTCAGCTTCATCTTTTTTCTAATTACTACCATTGTTGTGTCTCTTCTACAACTAAACTCATTATGTAAAAGCTTTCCCCCTCTCTTATTTCTAAATCTAAGTTTCAGCTCTGGAATATATGTTAGAAAAGATACACTTGTTGAAATGTTTGCATTTCTTTTATGAAATGCAGTATCTTTTGGGGAATATTGTGTAAATACTAATTATTTTAAAAGGATTTTTGTGTGACATAGTGCTTTCACAAACTAAAACTGAAATTTCTTTCTTTAGTTTATCTATATCTTTTGAAAATGTTGACACAGCTAAGAAGAAACTGCCTGTTCATATCTTAGACGGTCTGACCCTCAGCTACAAGGTATATGCTTATATTATTTGTATGAACAGTGTTTTCTACTAAAATTAAAACATGCAAGTAATTGGTTATTTCTGTTCTAATTGTGTTTTTGTTTCATAGGTCCCATGGCCCGTGGACATTGTTATAAGTTTGGAATGTCAAAAAATTTATAATCAAGTGTTTCTTCTCTTACTGCAAATAAAGTGGGCAAAATATAGTCTGGATGTTTTACTTTTTGGTGGTAAGATTTGTTTTCAGCAGATAAATTGTAATTTAATTTAATTTTAGCCCTTAATAAAAGAGGTTGGTGGGGAAGGAAAGCATACGGAGATCTGGAAAAAAGAAAAAAAAGAGGTTGGTGGTTGTCGATCTTTTTTTATGTGTATAGAAATGCCAAAATGGTGCGTATTCCAGCAGTGGGTTTACGGATGTCAAATACCTGAAAGAAAGATCAGGAAGTTGTATGTACAGTTGATCTGAAATGCAACAACTTGGTTAGGAAAAGTGATACAGGGAACTTTCCCCACTGCACCTTCCAGAGGCACTGAGGTTCGGTTCCTGCCACCCCTGCCATTGCTTTCTGTGGTACCAGGGCCACATGCCTCCGAGTTTCTGCCAAAAACAGGCATCATGGTGCAGTGGGGCTTGAGTTGATGCTCTTTCTGTCCACTGTGCTCTTCCCATCTTTTATAGAACTGGTTAGTACTGCGGAAAAACCACGACTTCAAGAAGGCCTTGTACGTGAACAAGACACAGTTGCTCAGTTCGGACCACAAAAAGAACCAGTAAGACAGCAGATTCATCGCATGTTCCTCTTAAGAGTGAAGCTCATGCATTTCGTGAACAGCTTGCACAACTACATCATGACCAGGGTTTGTGCCTCTCCCATCTGCTTCAGTGCTATCGCCTTATCTATACAGTTGTTCATAGAGAATTACTCATAATGTGTTTATAAATACAAAATGCCTACAGACTGAAAACGGGACATGTAGCAAATTTGATCATAAAATAACATGGCAGTGGGAGGAATGTTTTTGTAATTATACCGGAATGTGTGTATCCAGAGGCCACTGGTCCCTCCTGTCCAGCAGCCCTGGGGACAGGCACAGCCACAGCTCCTCTTCTGGAATTGCCTTCAGAACGTGCCGCGTAGTCCTTTAGTGTTCAATAGTGATGACAGCTGTCCCTAGAAAATGGCTCCAATGTTTAGTAACAGCCAAAATCCACTGTGGTGTTTGGGAGGAAGATGCAGCCAAGTGATAGACTTTTTTCTTAAAAAACAAGAGGTAACTCACTACAAAGTATATGAAACGGTTTTTCTGGTACATCTAATAGCCAGTTCTAGAGGAAGTTTGAAAGAAGGGTTCAGAAATTGGAACAAGAGCGGTGTTATTAGATGACAGTATGCATTTGGGGTTTGAATTGTTGTTTAGACCTGTTTATACCTGGTCTGTGAGTTCTGAAAAGAGCAGTGTTATCGAGGACAGTGTGCATTTGGCATTTGAATTGCTGTTTAGACCTGTTTATATCTGGTCTGTGAGTTCTGAAAAGAGCAGTGTTATGGAGGACAGTGTGCATTTGGCATTTGAATTACTGTTTAGACCTGTTTATACCTGGTCTGTGAGTTCTGAAACCCACCTTGCTTGGGTGAAGTGAGCCACTGAAGCCTGTGTTTTGGACGGGAAGGCTATGGCAGAGGGGCTCCATGTTTCCCCTGACTGCATTACTGACCTTCGCAAGGTTGGCCTTCATTAAGCCCCTAATTGTTAAGAGTAAATGATAAGAGTTTAAGTTTTTTCTTAGTTTGTTTTTTATTTGAAGTATGCTTATACTCATTTTAGAGAAAGATCAGTGTATGAGAAAAGGAACTTAAGAAACAAATTCACTGTAATTTGTATAAAAGTAACACATTTGCTTGATTTTTTTTTTTTAATCAATGTGTCTTATATACAGTTCAATGTACTTGCCCCTTCCTGCCAGGGAATCTGTTAGTCCAGACTTTGGCGTTCATTCATTCACTGTGCAAGTGGGTGTCCTACAGGACTGACCCCCGCCTCCTCTTTGGATCAGCACGCCAGCGTATCCAGCCAGCCTTTAAAGAATGGTACTTTACGAAACTTTCTAGATGTGATTATTGAAGGAGGAATTTGAGAGAAGTAGAAGAGCTTAGTAAAGAAGATTTGTGTGCAGCACACAAGTCCTCAAGGCTGCTGATTAAGCTTTTTGTCTTTCTCTTCCAAGATTCTCCACAGTACAGGGCTGGAGTTTCAACATCAAGTCGAGGAAGCCAAGGATTTAGATCAGTTGATTAAAATTCACTATAGGTATCTGTCAACCATCCATGACCGGTGTCTGCTGAGAGAAAAGGTACATGAGATGTCTCTTGCAGATGTGGCCCCTGCTGGGCGAGTGGCGCTGTCTGCCTGTTTAGGAATTTTATGATGATGAAGCTTCTGTCCTGTAGAATATTCTTTAAGGAAGAACCAGATCAAATGAGGTTACAAACAAATGCCCCAGGCCAGCCACAGTGGCTCACGCCTATAATCCCAGCACTTTGGGAAACTGAGGCGGGCAGATCTTATGAAGCCAAGAGTTCAAGACCAGCCTGGACAACATAGGAAGACTCTGTCTTTACAAAAATTTAAAAAGATTAGCAGACACAGTGGTGTACATCTGGAGGCCCAGCTACTTCCGAGGCTGAGGTGGGAGCATTGTTTGAGGCCAGTAGTTCGAAGCTGCAATGAACTGTGATCACACCACTGCACTCTGCACTCCAGCTTGGGTAACAGAGCAAGACCTTGTCTCAAAAAAAAAAACAAGGAGGAGTGCCCTATTCATAGAAGTTGTATCTAAGAGCAACATGAGAACCGTGTTTGATAGTCAGCACTCACTCTGCGTTACTCTTGGATTCAGTTGGAAAATCATGTCTGCAGTTAATAGTATGTCCACTTCATGTGAATAGACGGAATTCCGTCGTGTTAAAACCATTGGAATTCTTTATCCTAGTTTCATTGGTGAATTTAAGTGGCCATCCCAGGAAAAGGTCTTAACAGTTTGTTCTGCTGGTTTGGCTCTACTGCTAATACCGCCTGTATGTTCCATTCAGTGAATGCATGTGCCTGTTCCCAAGTGGGCATGGTTCAGAGCCTAGTACCCTTCCATATACATAGAAGGCAGTCACAGTAGTGAGGAGCTTTTTCTGTGATTCATTTAAAATAGGTAAAAGTGCTGGTATCAGTGTCCAAACCTAGTTACAGTTTGTGTTCTGTGACTTTGGTCTCTAGGTCAGCTTTGTGAAAGAAGCTATCATGAAGGTGTTGAACTTGGCCCTCATGTTTGCAGACGGTTGGCAGGCAGGCCTGGGCACTTGGCGGTAAGTATGTGACTTCCGAAGCATCTGTGCTCTAACCATTTCAGCTTCAGCTTCCCTTTTTTTTAGAGACAGCGTCTTCCCAGCCTCTCAGGAGGCTGAGAGAGGAGGATTGCTTGACCCCAGGAGTTCAAGACCAGCCTGGGCAACATAGCAAGACCCAGAGTTAAAAAAAAAAAAAAAAAAAGTGCAAGTCTTTTGTGAGAAGTAAAACATTTTTAAAAATCTGAGGTCTTCTAACTGAACAGGCAAACATTTTTAGATTACACTCATGTTGTGTAGGTTTTGTTAATTTTTATCATGGACACCTTCAAACAGAAGTGGCAAGGACAGTTGTGAACGCTGTGCTGGCACCTGCTTCGGCTATACCAGTGAGGACAGCTCTGTCATGTCTGTGCCCATCTCCCCAGTCACACTTGCTGAATTATTTTAAACCGAATTCTGAACATCATGCTAGACGGTTCTCCAAAGTTGTATTTTGGATGAGCTCTGAAAGATACTGTATTTTGAGTGTTCGTTATTCACACACATCACATAGGCAAGTGCACTGAATCAAGGGACAGTGGACGCGGGAGCAGTTCCCTCCAGCACTGCCGTCCTCTACTGTGAACTCCAGTGTACAGCTCAATATTTTGTTACCTGTCCTGTTTGTGAAGTCAGTGCCACAGTACTTCTGCTATTACTACCATGAAAGAAAAGCACATGTTTGGTTGACTGGGTTGTTATAATAGCCTGTACTTACTCCATGTTAGTAAGTAGGTAAGAGTTCGTTTGAGTGCTAATGTAATTGGAAATCTCCTCTTGGCTGTACTCTGAATCTAGAAACTAAGATAGTAGATGAAGCCATCCTTGCAGGGATGGAAATAGAAGTCTTAGTTGCTTTATATTGCTGACTCAAATGGTGTTGTGGCTGTGTTTTGAAAGGAATCTTTATCTTTAAAGTATACATTTATACTTATGAAATATTCATGACTGCAGTGGCTCTGATGTCTCCAGTTTATTTCCGAATACTGTGGTGGGGCTGTGGAGGTGTAAGCTTGGCACGTGGGTGCCACCTGCCATGGCTGGGCAGTGGGCCATGGAAGCCCCTTATGAAGTTCTCTCTTACATGTGTTTGATATTTCTCTTAAAAAAAAAAAAAAAAAGAAAGGCCGGGCGCAGTGGCAGCTCACGCCTGTAATCCCAGCACTGTGGGAGGCCAAGATGGGTAGATCTCCTGAGGTCAGGAGTTCGAGACCAGCCTGACCAACATGGAAAAACCCCGTCTCTCCTAAAAATACAAAATTGGCCAGGCGCAGTGGTGCATGCCTGTAATCCCAGCTACTCGGGAGGCTGAGGCAAGAGAATTGCTTAAACCAAGGAGGCGGAGGTTGTGGTGTGGTGAGCCGAGATCACTACATTGCACTCCAGCCTGGGCAACAAGAGCGAAACTGTGTCTCAAAAAAAAAAAAAAAAAAAAGAATAAAGAAAAACACAGACATGTAACTGTCACCACAATTGAGTCGGATCGGGCTCATCTCTTCAAAAACTTCCCCTGTGCCCATTTGTAGTTAACCCCTTCCCCCACCCTGGGCTTCTGACAACCACTGACATATTTCCTGTCCTTGTAATAGTGGGCATCTGTAATCCCAGCTACTCAGGAGGCTAAGGCAGGAGAATTGCTTGAACCCAGGAGGTGGATCGTGCCAGTGCACTCCAGCATGGGCAACAGAGCAGGACTCCGTCTCAAAAAAAAAAAAAGGCTTTTTAAAAATAATTTCAAATTTTAAGGTTTATATCCTTAATGTATTCTTTATTTCAAAGAGAACGTATGCTTGTAAACAATAAAAACAGAACTGTTTAAAGGAAAAGGGAGTGTCTTTGGTCCTCCTAGTTCCAGAACTAGATACTATCTGGAAACAGCACAGCACAGCTTTATATCCTAATGAACCTTCCTTTGAAACACTTTGACATTTTTTATTTTAAAGTAGGGTAGGACGCTATGTGTTTTATTTTATAATCTTTAGATTTAGGATTTTAAATCATTAAACCAAAACACATTTGCAATTACTCCACAGATATCTTGAAGCCTACATATAAACCCCCAATGCACTCACTTAATTGAAATTTACTTTTATTCCTAGAATGGAATCTATAGAGAAAATGGAGTCTGATTTTAAAAACTGCCATATGTTTCTTGTAACCATTTTAAACAAAGCCGTCTGTAGAGGATCCTTTCCCCATTGTGAGTATATCATGTTAAAATGTTTCTACCTCTGTATTTTCTTGTAACTAAGAGTATGTGTCATTATTTTGTTACTGATCCCATGAAGAATTAGAATTTCTCACCATTTCAAAACTGAAAAGTCCCTTAGCAGTTGTCCCATGCTTTGAATTGCTTTTTAAGCATTACAGTGAGGGTGAGTGCATATCGAATATTTGTAAGCCTGAGGATCTTACTTTCTGTTATGCCATTTATTACAACAGATTTCTAAAACTATTAAATAAAGTCGATGGCAGAATAGATTTCTGTCACACTCCACTATCGTGTAGTTTTTGTAACTTTCTTTTCAAAAGCTAGACTTCTTAAAAATTTTTTTAGGAATTTAAAGCTCCTGGCCTGGTGCGGTGGCTCACGCCTGTAATCCCAGCACTTTGGGAGGCCAACTGAATCACTTGAGGTCAGGAGTTGGGAGAACAGCCTGGCCAACATGGCAAAACCCTGTCTCTACTAAAAATACAAAAATTAGCTGGACGTGGTGGCACATGCCTGAAATCCCAGCTACACAGCAGGCTGAGGCAGGAGAATTGCTTGAACCCTGGAGGTGGAGGTTGCAGTGAGCCAAGATTATACCATTGCACTCCAGCCTGGGTGACAGAATGGGACTCTGTCTCGAAAAAAAAAATTTTTTTTTTCAACATTTAAACCTGTTGTTTTAACCTTATTTTTTTTCTTCCCATAGTGGAATCTCTAGCGCTGTCACTCATGGCTGGCATGGAACAAAGTTAAATGTCTTCAGTGTGAGAAATACCTCCAACTTCATCATCATACATGTACATTTCCACCATGTGCAGCTGAAAAGTGAGAATCTTTTAATTTTGGTTTATTTGTAAAACTTGTCCACTGTCGACCGGGCACAGTCACTCACGCCTCTAATCCCAGCACTATGGGAGGCCAAGGCAGGCGAATCACTTGAGCCCAGGAGTTTGAGGCCAGCCTGGGTAACATGGTGAAACCCTGTGTCTACCAAAAATACAAAATGTATCCAGACGTGGTGTGTGCCTCTCTAGCTACTCAGGAGGCCTAGATGGGAGGATTACTTGAGCCCAGGAGGTCAAGACTGCAGTGAGCCATGATTGCACTACTGCAGTGCAACCTGGGTGACAGAGTGAGATCCTGACTCAAAAAGAACCACTTGTCTGCAGTCCAGACAGATGGATTGTAGGTGGGTTTTCTGGAGATTAGTAGATACTGTATAGAGTTGTGTACATAAAATTGTGTCAGTGCAAAGTGTATACAGGCTGTTTACTCTATATTTCCTACTGTAAGATACAGATTTATGGTACTGATATCTTTAAATATAAATTATATCATATTTTGAAAATGTAATTCTGATATTCAAAATAAAGGACTTAAAATTATTTTATTATCCTTTTGCTGCTGTCCTTCAGTCACAGAAGCTTTTTATATAGAGTTTTACATGTTGTCTTCCCTAAAAGTTGTCTTAGATTTAGCTTTCCTACAAATGTTTATATTTTGTCTGGGTGTAGTCTCTCAAGCCTATAATCCCAGCACTTTGAAAGGCTGAGGTGAGACGACTACTTGAGGCCAGGAGTTCAAGACCTGCCTAGGCAACATATGAGACCCCATCTCTACAAAAACAACTTAAAAATTAGCCAAGGGCCGGGCGTGGTGGCTATGCCTGTAATCCATACAAAAATTAGCTGGGCGTGGTGGCACACATCTGTAATCCCAGCTACTTAGGAGGCTGAGGCAGGAGAATCACTTGAACCCAGGAGGCAGAGGTTGCAGTGAGCCTAGATTGCACCACTGCACTCCATCCTGGGTGACAGAGCAAGACTCCAAAAAAAAAAAAAAAATTAGCCAAGCATGGTGGCATGTGCCTGTGTTTCCAGCTACTTGGGAGGCTAAGGTAGGAGGACCCCTTGAGACCAGGAGGTCGAGGCTGCAGTTCCTGTGGTCCCAGCTACTTGGGAGGCTGAGGTGGGAGGATCGCTTGAGACCAGGAAATTGAGGCTGCAGTGAGCCATGATTGCATCATTGCACTCCAGCCAGGATAACAGAGCAAGACCTTGTCTCCAACAAAAAAAAAGAAAGAAATGTTTATATGTTTTATGTGCCTGAGAAGTTCCACGTGGAAAATAGCTTCAACCAATAGCGATAAATGTAAAAGGCCAACTTCACTTAGGGCGAACTGTTGGTACATATTATTGTTTGGTATTTCTTTGTTTTTTGAAATGGAGTCTCACTCCGTTACCTCGGCTGGAGTGCAGTGGCACGATCTTGGCTCACTGCAACCTCTGCCTCCTGGATTCAAGTGATTCTCCTGCTTCAGCCTCCCGAGTAACCGGGATCTCAGGCATGCACCACCACGCCCAGCTGGTTTTTGTATTTTTAGTAGAGACAGGGTTTCTTTCGCCTTGTTGGCCAGACTGGTCTCGAACTCCTGGCCTCAGGTGATCCACCCACCTCAGCCTCCCAAAGTGCTGGGATTACAGGCATGAGCCACTGCACCTGGCAATATTTCTGAGCAATTTTTATGAGCTAACCAGTTATATTTTGAATAAAATTATGCTTGCTATTCAATTTTTCCATATTTTCTTTTTATACTTTCTGCATGTGTATTAGGCTCCTCCAGATAAATGGAACAAATAGGATATAGATAGAGATATAGAAAGAGATTTCTTGTGAAGTAGTGGCTTATGCAGCCCTGGAGGCTGAGAAGTCCCATGGTCTGCCGTCTGCAAGCTGGAGGCCTGGGACAGCCAGTGGCATAGTTCTCGGTCAAACCTGAAGATCTAAGATCCAGGAGAGCCAGTGGTGTCCCGGGTCTGAGTTCAAGGGCTGGAGAACCAGAGAGTGCCAGTGTTGGAGGGGAGGAGAAGATGGACATCCCTACTCAAGCAGAGAGCAAATTTGCCCTTCCTGTCTCTGCCTTTTGGTTCTATTCAGGCCCTCAGCAGATTGATCATGCTCGTCCTCATTGATGAAGGTGATCTTTGCTCATTCTGCCAATTGAAACACTAACCTCTTCCAGAAACACTCACAGACACAGCCCCAAGTAATGTTTTCCCAGCCATCTCAGCATCTCTTGGCCCAGTCAGGTGACACATAAAGTCAGCAACCATCACAGCATGTGTCTTAACACTTATGACTCAGTACGATACTTACCATTTATTTCTTTCTGAAAAATAACCACTGAATTCCAAATAGCCCTAGCAGCAGAGAAGCAGGGCACCCTTGCCCTTAGACACAATCTCTTGTGGCATCAGCATTTCCTGCACGTGGAAGGCAAAATCTGGAGTTCAGCCCATTCACATCCTGGGTTTTGCTCAGAAGTCTCAGGAGAAATTCACTGGGGAGGCCTTCAAATGAACAGCTGCTTCCAAGACTCAGGAAAATACCATTGTATAGCCCAACAGCTGTAAGATACATGAAGTCACTTGTGACCTGGTCCTGTAAGTCCAAATCCTGTGGGAATTGATGGAGCATCTATTCCTGTAAGACTGTCGTCATGAGGGAGTCAACTTTTAAATAATGGGCCAGGCGTGGTGGCTCACGCCTGAAATCCCAGCACTTTGGGAGGCCGAGATGGGTGGATCACCTGAAGTCAGGAGTTCGAGACCAGCCTGGCCAACATGGCAAAACCCTTGGTCTCTACTAAAAAATACAAAAATTAGGCCCAGGCATTTGGGGCCTACACCTGTGAATCCAGGCCTACTTTGGGGCTAAGGCCAGGAGCAATCTCCTGCAACCAGGGAGGGCCAGAGCTTACCAGCTGAGGCCCGAGATTGTGCTGGCTGCACTCCAGCCTGCGGCAACAGTAGGGCTGTGTCTCAAAAAAAAAAAACTTAAAAAAAGATAGTCTGGCCTGTCTGTTGCTGGTAAGCTTTTTTATACCGTTAACGAAAGGTCATTCACATCAAGACCTACCCAAAAACACATTCTGTTTCATAAACAGGATTATTCGGGCGTTTTTTTCTAAACCTGGGGGCATAGAAAAGTGTTTACTGGATGTGTGAGAGAAAAAAAAAAAAGACAAAAAATGGGAAAAATATCGTTTATTTTAAAAAAGAATTAGTATTTGCCTAATTTTGTTGTTTTACCTCAACTTAAGATTTCATCGTGCTACCTGTGTGTATTTGGCATTTTCTTGAGCACTTAAACTCTCAAGTGAAAGATGTAGCAAGTTTAAACTGGGGGAAGAACGACTTACCACTTGGGGCACGATTACTGAGTATGGAATGAGATGGTGGGAGGCAGCGCCCTGCCATAGCAGCCACCAGAGCGGGGACTGGAGTCGGAGCTGAGCAGTGTCTGCAATGGCAGGCGGGGGAGCAGAACTGGGCCGGCTCAGGTGGCTCCTGTGTAGGGACCGAGGTATTGGCCAGGCCTGCTGCTACCCCTCATTCTGGTCACTGGCTGAAGGGCCCTGGGAAGGGAGTGCTGTCTTTGCAGCGGGAGGGGGCCTTTGAGGGGTTGGCAGTCCCACGGGGAGCGGCTCTGCGGCGTCACATCATGTCAGCTTACCTGTCACGAAGTGCCACTTGAGTTTTCTGAGTGAGAAAAGACAATCGGTTCTCTTGTCGGGATTGCGGGGACCGAGGAGCTGTGCAGCTCGTTGTGCTCTGGAGGGAAGCTGGCGCTGGCCTGCGCACATTGCCCTATCGTAATGGTGTTAAATGTGGCGATTGGGTCTCACTCCATTTTTTCTTTTTTTTTTTTTTTTTTTTTTGCCGGCGGAGTCTCAACGCTGTATTCAGCCAGGCTGGGAGTGCCCAGCTGCGCGGGATACTCGGGCTCAACTGACAAGGCCCGGCCTCCCAGGTTCACGCCAGTTCTCCGTGCCCTTCAAGCCCTCCGAAGGTACTGGGACTACCAGCCGCCCGGCCGCACCACGACGCCGCGCTTAATTTTTTGGTCATTTGTTTAGTAGGGAGACGGGGTTCACTCATGTTAGGGCCAGGATGGTCTCAGCATCTCATTCGACCGTCGTGATTCCCACCCCACCTCGCGCGTCCCCAAGAGTTGCTGGGATTACAGGGCTTGTGTGAGCCCACCCGCCGCCCGCCTCACTTCCATTTTTTTTTAAGCTCTGATTTGACCTTTCTTAAAGACCTTGTTCTGGTTTAAAAATTGTAAGTGGTTTTCCAGACAGGCATGTAAGAAGCCTGTACGTTGTGATTCCCATCTTCCCAAGAAGAAAAACAAAAATTAACATGACATTGGAAATACCTATTTTCTAGGAATGCATTTGGTACAATATATACAATTCCTTTATGAAGAAAACCACAAAGCATTACTCAGAGATTAAAGACCAAAATAGGCTCACATCTGTAATCCTAGCACTTTGGGAGGTCGAGGCGGGTAGGTCACCTGAGGTCAGAAGTTCAAGACCGGCCTGGCCAACATGGTGAAACCCCATCTCTACTAAAAATACAAAAGTTAGCCAGGCATGGTGGCAGGCACCTGTAATCCCAGCTCCTTGGGAGGCTGAGGCAGGAGAACCACTTGAACCTGGGAGACGGAGGTTGCAATGAGCCGAGATTGCACCATTTCACTCCAGCCTGGGCAAGTGAAACTTGGTCTCAAAAAGAAAAACACCGGGCGGGGTGCGATGGTTCACACCTGTAATTCCAGCCCTTTGGGAGGCCGAGACGGGCAGCTCACAAGGTCAAGAGATCGAGACCATCCTGGCTAACATGGTGAAACCCCATCTCTACTAAAAATACCAAAAAAATTAGCCATATATGGTTATATGAAGGACCTAGAGTAGCCGGAGTAATCTGGAAGGACAGGAGCGATGTCAGAGGACTTACATTATCTGACTTCAAGGCTTT